TATATATATATATATATATATATATATAACAATAAAATGATTGAGTTTTGTTTTCAACAACAGAAAAGTGAATTTTAATAGATAGATAATTTAATATCACAATAATAGATATGACTAGATTGATATTTTTAGTGATTAAAAATAGGGATATTAACATATATATATCTTTTATGAATAAATAAATTAATAATCATCAAGTTTTTGTGTGTTGAGAAAATAATCATTTTTTTTTTTGAAAATTTGAAATATATCATTGGATTTCACACTTATTCGGGACAATCCAAAATAGTTTTGTTTTCTGTTTGTAATCCAAAATGATCTGAAATCCTGAATATACTTTTTTTATTAAAAATACTTTAATGGGGAACCACTAAAACCGTACCTGATACCCGACCAAATCGGGTCTGAAATAATTCATTCCGTAAAAGTTAGTTATTTTCTTTATAATTATGTTTAGGTTAGTTTTGTTAATGTCCCTTAAAAATAACTCAAGACAAAATGGATAATTTATAGCTTACTAATAGTTTAGAGAGTCTATACATCAATTTATTATATTTTATTTTATAATTAACTGAAGTGTTTATTTTTATTTTCCATCAATTTTTTATTTTCGGTATGACTTCGAATATATCATTTAGACCGTCTTATTTTTATATGTATAATGATATTAATTTACCTCAATCCAACATATATCATGCATATGCATGATATATTTTTAGACTTCAAATATGTTTTCTTTATATCATTATATAGTACGTTTTTTATATTGCTATAAACTATGTTTTTCGTACATACTCTTAAAATATGAAATTTATAGACGTTAGAATACACAAAAATTTATAAGATTGTATGTCATCTTCCATTGACCCCGATAACCTTAGGCTATCTGGAGTGGATGGATTTCCATGCCTGAGGAGCTGACTTGGCAGCCCTGGAGACGCGTGAACACCACCCTCAGGGTGGGTGGGTTGGGTGTAACGTGGGTGGTAGGATGGACGAAGACATGCCTTTTGATTGGCTGGGCTTAAATTTGAACGTTGACATCTTTTTTGACCGTTTGAAAGCATTTAATAAAAAACATATTCATTATTAACTTAATTTCTCTCTATAACATTCATTTTAAACATATTTTTCAAAACAAAACACACACATTCAACAAAAAAATAGATAATTTTTTCGGTGCAATTTCTTCTTTATCTGATGATGATTCTGATGACGACTTGGTTTTGCACATAATATTGTCTGCGGCACAAGACATGGTGCGTGAGGGAGACGAAAGTTCACAGGGCGAGAAGAAGCGTAGAAAATGGATCAACTGGGATCGAGAGGCGGCAAATGAACTTTTGGTACGTGATTATTTTGCCCCTGATAGTTTATATGATCTATCGATATTTGAAGAACGTTTTCGTATTAGTAGAAATTTATTCTTACGTATAGCTAGAGATTTGGAACGAAATTATGAGTTTTTCCAATTAAGATGGGATGCTAGATGTAAACTTGGTTTACTACAATACAAAAATGTACGCCCACTCTTAAACAATTGGGATATAGAATAGTCGCAGACGAATCAGATGAGTATTTGAAAATGTCTGAGAGAACGGGTCGAGACTGTACATATCTTTTTTGTGAGTATGTTATAGAGCTTTACCGTGACATATACTTGCGACATCCGACTAAAAGTGATGTCGAACAGTTGTATGTCGCGCACCAAGCTAAATATGGTTTTCCAGGGATGCTTGGTAGCATTGATCGTACATATTGGGAATGGGGAAATTATCCCAACGCGTGACGTGACCAATTCACGCGAGGTGATCATGGGGTGCCGACTGTTATATTAGAGGCTGTTGTTTCACAGGACCTATGGTTTTGGCATGCATTCTTTGGTATGGCGGGGTCAAACAATGACCTGAATGTGCTCCAAGCGTCTCCGTTATTTAACAATATTTTGTAGGATAAAGCACCAAACATGTCATACGTTGTGAATGAAAATGAATATAAGTATGGGTATTACCTAGGTGATGGGATATATCCAAAGTACGCTACAATTGTCAAGACATATTCATTTCCGGCCAATGAAAAACGAAAATTGTTCAAGTTAGCACAGGAATCTGCAAGGAATGATGTGGAACGAGCGTTTGGAGTCCACAAAATAAAATGTGGCGCATAATCAAACATCCGACACGAACATGGGATAGGGAAAAATTGACGACGGTGTTGACTGCTTGTGTTATTTTACATAACATGATAATATAAGAAGAGGGTAGGGTTATTTGTTCATATACATCGAACGATATACTTAATCCACCTGCAGTAATATAAGTTGGTAGCCCGACATACTTCTCAAGGGTTTTGGAAATACAAAACCGTCAAAACACATCACAATCTACGTCACGATTTGACTGAGCACATATGGGAAAGACAATTCCAATGGCAAAATGACAATGAAGACGAGACAAATGAGGACGGTGACGAAGAAGCGGATGAGTACGTTGACGACGAGGCGGATGAGGCCGGTGACGACAACAACGACAAGTAGTATTTTTCTATGTTTTTTTATATTTTACATTTTTATGTTGTTTAAGTAATATAATGTTTTATTTGGTATGTTTTTGTAACACCTCAAATTTCAAACCAAAATTTTCATTTTTTAAATACCCAAAATATTATTCATAAACCAAGTCATCGAAAAAAATAAGTATCAAATACAAATCATCATCACAATATATCAGAGTGCCACAAAATGTCCAGTCACAAATTTCCCAACGAGTGTGTACAATCAAACATTCTCCTTCCCGCGATCCTCAGAAGTACTTGAAACACATTTAATCAACATTTGTAAGCACGATGAGTTCCCCAAAAATATCACATACAACACAACATAAATAAACAGTTATGGGTTATCAGCAACCGTGGGGACTATCAGCAGTCCCAGTGGGCAAACAGCACGCCATGTGGGTTATCAGCAACCCTGGAGATTACCCAAAGTCTCAGTCACACATAAACAACATAACACAATAATAACAACTAGACCCAGCTGGTCATCACAGATACAACTATTCTATTACACAGGTAAGAATAAGTGAGAAGACTCACCTGATACTGATGACAGACAAATCTCACACCCGAACTGCCGGAACTAGACTCCGCCTAATAACACAACACGTAACCCTAGTCAATTAAGGTAATTATCTCGACTCATAAGTCTAAATCCCACAACTACGCTCCTTGAGGGCAAAAAGACCATTTTGCCCCCATACAAGGTCCAAAACCCTAAATCCTTGACCAATGTCAAAAGTCAGCAAAAAGTCAACCGCCCAGCGCATACGTTGGGCGTACGCTTCCTACGCGTCGTGTACTCGAAGAATCAGATGGGTCGGGGTCAAGCCTGGCTACGCTGGGCGTAGCCAGAAGTATGTTGGGCGTACGCCGATTGATCCCAAAATCACCCCCAAACGTCTTAATCATTAAGACTTGCGATCCAAACATAGATCTGACCTCCATAGAACGTCTGAATCCATAAATCACCGACTTTAAGGCTTTGTGTAACGCCCGAAGATTCGGGCTAGTCAATTTAGAGACAATAAGTGTCAAAAATGACTTTTTGATAGAAGATTATTTAGAATAAATAATCTTAACTAAGTAATAATATAAGTCACAAGGGTTCCGTACATATAAAGAACGCTGAAATCCGGGTTATAACGAAGAAGTTATGACCCGTCGAAGTTTTACGGCTAAACCGGCATGACACTGCGTGACGTAAAAAGTGAGTTTACGATAAAGTGCTTTTTAGCCTTAGTGATCTAAACGAAAGTCGTAGCATACGTTAAACCGAGAGCATGCATAAAAAGAACGCCCAAATCTGACTTCGTATGAGGAAGTTATGATTTTTCTAAGATTTGGCATAGCAATGTACAGTCCGAAATTCGAATTTTAGATCGATCGATTTTTGGCCAACGCAACCTAAATGAGAATTGAAGATATCATTAATA